TGAAGTGAATTCAGAATACAGAACAACTTTTTATCAGTACACACATATATAGTATGATTCTTTTTCTACAACCGATATGTCGTAATTTGTATTACAAAAGATATGTGATTTCGATAATTTAAATATAAAATATTCACCAGATAATAAAATATCACTAACTAAGAGCACTTCAAAGGGTTTTTGGGCTGTCAAACCAATCTTAACAATAGATTTGAGGCGGTGATTATATTCCTTATGGGAATTCAACCGTTGATAGACACTATTCACCATCATTAGTCTCTAAATGAGGAAATAACTATAACAAGAGCTTGTGTAATCATTTAAAACTAAATTAACTTATAGTTGAATACAATGAATGGAAGAAAGTTCTCAGTGAGTACATCTGTCTGTCTGTTTTTGACATATAACTTTGCACCGATATGCAGCAGTTCAGGTCGCCACACTCCACTCCTTTTAGCACACAAAGCAACAGAAGAAAGTACAAGAAATGCATAATAGAGACAGTAAACAGAGGTGTAAGACAAAGGAATAGTAATAACGAAGAACAATATAGTTTCATTGAAAATCATAAGTCACAAGGAGTGGATGCATCTACACCATCCATTGAGAACGATTTTGAGCCATATCACCAATTGTTTCCAACCATTGGTTTTTACCGTCCCGAGGATCCCAACCAGGAAGTCTACACCTTCCTACGTGGCTGGCTTAAACTAACTGTTGTGGATTTCATTGATTCATGAAGCCATGTTTTGATTTGACCGCCACTAGCTCTTTTCCAGTCTGACCCTATGTCAGCTAACACTGCCCATCGAGGAAGGTGATGACTAGGCATACGTAACACATGTCCTAACCATCTCAATCGGTGTATTTTCACAGTCTCATCGATTGATTTCCCCTCCCACCTACCTAACACTCGACCGACGCCTAACTTCCGTATTGCTCACCTTATTATACCACTTCAGACGGGAGATAGAACGCAGGCACCTATGATCGACGGACGGAGCGGATTGATGAGCAGTATACCCGCCCTGAAATAACTAGGACTGTTTAAAAGTTTGGATGGTTTCAGTATTCCTATAGTTTTTAATGCGCATGATCCTGGATAATCTTAACTTAGGTGTACCCAATCTATTGATCTGATACTGTTTAAGTAATCAAGAACGTAGAAGAAGCATGAAAAGGTTATTGGAGAAAAGGCGGAAATAAAACAAGGATAAATAGCGAACCTTCCTAAGTCGAAACAGGCGACAACGTATAACATGTAGTCACAGTACTATTATTATAGTGTGGAAAATGCACTGAATGAGTCAGTGCAGTCAACTTTAATTTTTAATAATTATTTGTGTATTGGTGGCTAAAAATTTTTTTTTTGATTACAGCTTGATTCCACACTGTATTTTTGGTACAAGTATGGAATTTTCAGCGTGGATATCGGTAGCCCAAATTTCGCAGGCCGACCATATATATCAGGTGTGCGTTGGCGTGGGCTCGTACCCCGGACCATATGCATGGTCGGCGAGAGTCCTAACCACTGTGCCACCGACGCACAATGCAATATGCAGTGGGCGTTTCATCGTATTTGGGACTTATCATCTGAAGTCATCTACTTCCCACTGAGACTCGAACCCAGTAATCATTTCTCCCAGCGACAAAGAGTTATCTACTAAACCAGGAGGTCATGACAGCCAACTCTTTTGTAACGCATATGACTGGGAATTACTGATTCCTGTGTGTGATTTCCCCATTGGTATGTCTGGAGGAGATTAGTCAACCACATTTCAGTGGAGGTGAAAATCCGCATCATGGATTCTGCTGGTAGCCACTACAAAATAAATGAATAAATTCGACCTATTAATCCGAGTAATATCAAGGCATCTCTCGAAGCAGTTCATATATCAAAATTAAGCTTATCATTTTAGTGCAAATAAGTAACTGTGACTTTTGAATAAAAATAGAGTACACATGTCAGAGTAGGACTTTCATTTCTGTATATGTAGAATAGGTAAGCATTAACGTCCTATATCATATAAGCAGTAATTGATTTTAGATAATAAATTATTGTGTACTTTTGTAAATCATAAGTTATCCTGATAATTTGCATATTTACTGATTTTGAGAATTAATATGAATTAATGTTTACATTCGGCTACATATATCATGTGAGCCATGGTTAATTCCTTTGACACTCCACTCCAGGTTCAAACATATTTTCTTTTTTCTAATTTTATTCCTTTACGTTCCCAGTGGAACATAGGGATTCAAGATAGAGGCTTTAAGTTTCGGTAGCGTTGGTGTTCATTTTTACAGGATGGTGCTGCTAGCCTCATGTCCAGCCATCCCCCTTTACCAGTCTTACTACTGGCTTAGCGCGGTAAAGGAGTGCTTTGGTGACCGCGGATTGAACCCCGAACTACATGAGGCGTGGTTGGCGAGCATTCTACCACTGTCCAACCGATACACACAACGACTTAGTAATATTGTAAGTGTAGTTACACAACTGAAATACTGCTGACAGAAGCATACTTTTGGTCGATTTAGACGTAATTAAAATCAATCTTAATCATCACTTTGGTGCTTCATCAGTCATCTCAAACAGAGATGAAATATGATTTCTGCTATTCGTGAACCAACTTAATGTCACAGATACGTTGATGATATGTCTGTTGTTTGTAATACCATGAATCACTTATCGAAACTGTCTGATCGTCTCAACGAGAACCATTCTAACATTAAATTCACCGTAGACTATGAGTGTGACAGAGTCTCATTTATCGGATCTTAATACTGATAAGAAATGATACTACAATTAATGTTCCATCCACAGAAAAGAAACCTTATCTGCATCGTATCTCTACTGCAACAACATCTATTCTGTAAGTTACAAGCGCGATTTATAAGTATAGTCTATGACGGAGCCAAGAGGCCATGTTTAACCAACAAAATGGAAAAAGAATTGTGCTTCGTTGAGAAATGCTTCATGGAAAATGGATGTTCTAACAGAATCATTCTGATGTATGGTAAAGAGGAAGTTAAGAAAAAGATTCTCCCAACCGCTAGAAAAAAATGTCTTTCTTCATCTTCTATTCAAAGAAGAAGCAGTATACCAAAGGTCTAAGAAAATGAGCAATAAAAAGATGTTTGCCTGCAGTGCCACAAGATCACTAGTCCAGTCCATACCTTACTGATGTCACTTGCAACTGTATTTATAAGTATTTATTCACTTTATATATAATGAATATTAAAGTTCAAATTAAGGTCAACTTATCACCTTCTATATTTAGTATGAAACTGAAGATCGTATTAACAATATAGATCTAAAATGCTCAATTGACTGAATCGCATTTAATAAGATGCTATATATATATATATATATATATATATATATATAGATTTAACAGTGCGACGATTTTCGTTTTGGTTAAATTTGACTATAGGAACAGTGAAAATTAAGTCTTGAAATTATCATTAAGTGGTTAAAGGCAAACTGTGGAACCGTGTGTGCTCACTTCTGAAGAGTCCCCCTATAATACGAAACAACTGTCCTCACTGGAAGCTGAATCCATTAAGAATTTGCATGGAGTTCGTGTGGCAAGTCGCGATCAATGGCGTATATCGAGTTAGACGTGGGGAAAAATACTCGTCTGAGACACTGGCTTGAGGTGGCACCACAAATTGCGGATCGCTGGAACATAGAATTCATGTGACATTGCATCCCGCTCCAGTGGCTAAATGGTTGATGGAATGGTCTTGTGACGTGCAAGCCCTGAATTCAATCCCCGGTTGTGTCATGGAGGTGTACTGCTAAAAACTCCCAGTTGGGGACTTACTGATTTGCAGTGTTTCTTTAAGCGATGTCAATTCATTATCAAGCTTGAATTCAGTCTAATCCCTGCAGACCAACACTTGAAAATTGGCACAGGGAACTTTATCCGAGTTTCATGCTTATTAGCTCTCCACACTAAGGAGTATCTGCATACCAATGTCACCTTGGAGATTTGGGCACATATACGCCAGTGCTTAAGCCGTTACCACCACTCAACTTTCCCAGAAAGCAGATTATTTCCTATATGAACGTAAATTTCACATCATTTGGTCACTGAAAAGTAGCGGTATCATGTGTCTAGTTGTTGTTAGTGTTGATGACTGGAATCTATCGGTCAAGTATTCAGTAAGTGATGGTCAAGCTGAATGAGTGACCATTACAGTTGACTTCAAACTGATATTTGGGCAGGGGGATTGGAAGTAATCTCCAGAATGGTTTGAACTTAGAATTTGTGATTACTGGCACTTGTCAAAAAGGAATGATGATGTACCCACTACTCCGATAATCAAATAATAATTCAAAGTGAATCGTGATGGTAAGTCTTTGATGACCTTATTGAAATCTTGAATAATAGAGATTAATCAGGACCACTGGCTAATAAACTCTCTCGTGGCAAATCAATTTAAAGATTGCATTAAATCAAAAAATATTGGTATGTTTGGTATTTTGTGTTAGAAATTTGCAGGTCACCAACAGGACATCACTTCGTACTTTTCTCGTTAATCAAAAATGACTGCATTCAAAGTAAAAAAAAAGATTCAGGTATCCACTAATTAGCAGTTCTGATGCAGGAATTCTGTATTCCATAATATCTTGCTGGCAAAGCTTACTGAATAGTTCTTCCTCTCTCTCTCTTTCTTTAAGACTTTATATTAATTACAACAGAATACGTGTAAAGGTATTTATTTATGTGTAAAACGTAATATAATATACTTATTAAAAATATATTTGATATATTCAATATGGACAAGTTGAACTGAATACTTTTTTCTTTGTAGGACGTTATAATGAGTCTGATTTGTCTAAATAAAATCATGTGATTAATTCTACTCTTATCTATCTGAATATTATGATCAATAAATGTATACAAATCATTAAAAGCAACAGACTGATATGTTGAAATCAACCCAACTATCATTGTTGAAAAAATGAATATATGTATGTATATATATTATACCCAGTTAGGATAAAAGCAACATACAACGTCCTTTCATGGATTTCATGTTAAAATTCATAAGGAATAATTTTAAAAAAAGTAATGTATAATAATAATATTTCGTATTTTAAATAAATGTTAATGACAATAAAACTTGAAAAGGTGACCAACTGAATATTTCAATTCATTTAAACAAAGTGTTCAATGATTCAATATTTTTTGTTTAGGAATAAATATATATATATACGTATAAATGGAAAGAAATCACAAATGAAGGATATAAACTGTAGTCTGAAAAGAATAATACTCTTATAATGAAAATATTACTACGAAAATTAATGACATTTTTAACAAAAGTTGTAAAAATATTCATTATAGATAAACAAAAGTCTATTTCATACCTATTTAATAATCATATGAGCATTTCCAGTCGGCGGTAAATCAGAAATATGCATGAATGCTTCAAGATGACAAGTGTTTTTGGAGAATATTGAGGGGATTCTTTGAATAAAATGATATAAAAGAAGGTTTATAAAAGGAATTAATAATGCAAATAATAAATTGGTATTTTGCCGATATAATGAATTACACAATGTCATACAGTGATGATAGCGTTGTAACCACGAGTACTATTACTAATATACCTATTACACAAGATAATCAATTCTATGAAGATGCCGTTTTATATGAATATAATCAGCATAACTCTGAGATTGGTATTTCCTTAAGTTTACAGCGAAAAGTAAAGAAAACTGATGGCAAAATAATCCGTAAAGCAACACATCTTGATGATAACATTCAAGATGGTAAATCGGAACATGAAGTAATACCACAGAATAATTTGAATCAGCAATTGAATGTTTCACCCACTGCTATCACTACCGCAAATTCTACAGCTTTATCAATGCCAGAAAATTTAAGTACTAACCAGCCTTATTCTAAAGATGATATAAATCCGGGGGAATTATCTAAACAGACATATTCTGTGGTTATTTTTCGAACAGAAAGTATCAATGATGTTGTCACATCATTAAATTCAAGTCTACCAGAAATTGATTATAATAATTCAACAAAAGACTTGACAGTTAATCGTTTAGGTGAACGTGATAAAAAACGTCTTCTGAAATCAATGGCTAAAAGTCAAAAAGTTGACAAAAAGGCTAAAAGTCATTTGACTCCATATAATGATTCTTCAGGGTATGAAGTAATCCAGTTAACTACACAAAATGAAACACTCTCCAGCTTTAAGACAATCCCTATCACTTATTCAATAAAACCGAATTTTACACTGATAAATAATAATGATAAATGGTCAAATATAAACCAGTATTCCTTAGCAGTATTGATCAACAGAGTATTCTATATCCCCTAGGGGATTCATTGATGGCGAGCAATGAAGTTGCCCCAGTAGTAGTAGCGGCAGCAGTAAGAGCAAAGAATGCGAAACTCGAAATGACAGATTGGAAGAATCTGAAACGAATGTACCAATAATAGATATAATCACTGAACCCATAGTAGCTGTATTCGAACCTACTGAACTACAAATAAAAATCTATTCACCTCAACAAAGTGATCACCATGAGTATCGTAAGGAAAAGACAACTACCTTCCCGCCCAATCTAACTTCATCATTTCATCCAGAATATATTTCTGCTAGTACAGTCACCGCTTCAGAGGGTGATGAATTACCGCATAGAACTAATTCTATTGAACAAGCTTTACAAGATACATCCCAGAAAAGTAGTGAAAATCGAAGTAAACGGTTATATTTGAAACCTGGTAGAAAATCTAGAACACTGAAGAAACATGCTTATAAGGGTGTAAATCATGCTCCCCTGAAGACTACGCCAATGGGGAGTCGAACAAAATCTCCAAGTTGTAGAAAAATAATGACTAACTACTCGCCAACAAAATCACCGCATAAAAGAAGCAATAATTCACCAAAAAATAATTACCAACCTTTGACTAGGCTGTCTAATAAGACAGTCAGACAACAACCAAAAGATAAATCAATACGCAGTCAAACAATATCACCAACACTGCGTTATACACCTTTAAAGTCAGTGAATTCTTTGAAGAGGATAAACTGCGAAAGAAAACGTAGAAAATCAGCACCAAATGAGTCTTTATCAACACACTCTCCTCCTGCTTCTATCAGGAAATTAATGAGAACAGATGATAAACAAAATATTTATGAAGCTTCTGTTCATTTGATTGAAAGGATAAATAAAAGATTGAAAAAGTATAAGCAATATAAAAGTCTACATCAACAATCACACTATAAACGTCAGACTACAATGTCACCAACTCTTAGAAGAGGAGTTAGATCTAAGCCAACAGAAATGAAGACTAGAATAAAATCTCCAAAAATGAAATACAATGAATTAAACTCAAAGGATTTCAACTTTCGTCGAACTAACAGGAACCAAATTACTCGAAGTAACACTTCTTCTTTATCAGAATCTATAAGTCAAAAACAGCTGAAGTATAAAGACTCGCCTATAACTGCAATTAGAAAGTTAAGAAATCGTGATAATGCATCAAATTCAACTTCAATGACTTCATTATTAGAAAATCAATGTTACAATCTACCTATGAGAATAAGTAAATCTGATTATCGATTAACTTCACCTGGTATCTTATAGTTAGAGTTGTTTCCTCTTTCTCCTACAGTAGCATCGATTTCATCCTCTAAACTTCATATTAAAGCCTAAAAAAGGATATAATTACATGCCTGTTTATTAGTAAGTAAATTAGAGTTCACATGAATGGATAAAATTTCATGTCAGGGAAATAATCCTAAATTATTGATAAGAGTAGGAGTTTGCCTTTCCTCTGATAAAAAATGGGAGATATAAGATTCTTCAGGAGCGCTTGGATATTGACAAAACAGTTGACTATTTGGTTTCTCTTTTCCCTATTCATTTGAACATTTTCATTCATGGGATTTCATTTCAGTACTGTGCTTTTCCTTTTTTTTCTTTTTTCCCCAACTCATTTACAATTTTCACATCTTTCATTGTTGTTACTTCCATCTGCTTTTCTTCTTTTCTGCTTATAAAATAAGTTTAATAATGATAAGACTTCATGGTTCTACTTCAACACATTGAATACGATAATCGTCGGTGTCACAGTGGTAGAATGATCGCCAACCACGCCTCATGTGGTTCGGGGCTCGATCCCAGCCACTGACGCACTCCTTTACCTCGCTAGGCCAACAACAGGACTGGTAAAAAAGGGAAGGTTGGCCATTGGCCTAGCAACCTCATCCAGTAAAAATAAACACCACTGCTACAGAAACTTCAAGCCTCTAGCTTGAAGGTCTATGTTCCAAGGGGAACGTGAAGGAATTAAAAAATAATATTGTGAAGTTATGTAGGTTTATGATATGAGTAAGTTGGGCTGATCAGGCAGTAATGTGTGTGCTAATAGTTTACAATACTTTCACTCCCCAAGCACCACCCTAGTTAAATAAATATGCAGTTTCGTGAGGTTTGTTGTGTGTAAATTTTGAAAAATGAAAGTCTGAGGATTATTTGTTATCTCTAACTGTTTTCTGACAATTGCAAAGGATTTATAATAATAATAATATTGTTATTATTATCATTATCATCACCATTCCCTAGGATTCGAAGTGCAACGCAGGGTTACACCAGTACACCTTCATTCCATTCAATTCTCTGCAGCTCTCTCTCATGATTGATCATAAGCTTTAACTCCCCCCCTTCCCGCATGATTTTCTTCATCTCACCCTGGGACACTCAACTGTATATATGATGTTACCCAAAGATTTCTTAAACGTATGTCAAACCCATCTCGAGGTCTTTCTGTATATTTATTCGGGAATAGGTTACTGACTGGTCTGTTGGGTATCCTTTCTAACTGGCCATCTGATCTTTACTATCGAGACAGAGAAGGCAGTCACTGATAAAAGTCTTCAACAGTCTGTTAGAAATACTTTGGCTGATATACACACTAATTGTCTAAACCAATATAGAAGCACTGATTTGATACGTTGGTGAAAATTTGGATCTAGCTGAGTGCTGTAGAAGTGCACACTGATTTCAGAATAATGAAGGCTTGTTTTGCTTTTCTGATTCTGGCTTGGAGGTCCACAACTGTGCCACTTGTTGTTGCAGAGGATGAAATAAGGCGGTTATAAAACGTGGAAAAATCACTCAAACAGTTTTGAACAGTGGATAAGCTTTTGATGTTATTGTGTTCACTGAACCAGTTGGTTTAACTGTGAAGTCTGTGAAGGTTGTCCTCCTGGACAATATCTTTCGTCATCTATCGGTTCTCCATAAATGAGATATTCATCTTTTCTGGTAACCTTCACTGAAACTGCTTGTTTCGGTAGATTTTCCTATGATTGTAACCATGTTTCCTTGTATTAATCTTCACGTCTACTTGCCATTTGACTCTTTAGACTTGTAACATATTTTATATTGACTGGTAAAATTTGAACTATGGAAACATGTCTATTAACTGCGAATTGATTTGAGTACCATTCATGACTGCAGGAATTCTCTGGCTTTCTTTGTGTTTATTTTGTCTAAGAGTTTTACATTGTCCCAGTTAGAAGAATGTGTGAGTGGTTGGTTATTCGTGTGAATCGATAAGAAATAATGCATGCTATGTCCTTTAATTCATAGCCTATGACCGTGGATGTGAAGATGAAGAAATAGTCCCCTTTATCCAACATGGTGTATTTCATAGTTGATGCCATCTTTTTATAGATCTTTTATCTTTTATCGACCGTATATAGAGAATGCTGAATTTTCTCTTATCTTTAAGAGCTGTGCTGTCTGAATCAGATAGAAATAGGTGAAACTGTCTAGGTCAAACCTAAACAACCATTTAGGTGGTGAAGGAAATTAAAGAATGACTGAGCTAATTACTCATCACTGTATCAGATATCATTTCGACAGATGGATAATGATCTCCTAACACCTGGACTATTGTTTTATTTAGAACTGAGAAGTAAATAACCTGTCACTTTAATCTCTTTAATAGCTTATGGGATTTTCTTCATCAACTCTATGTATCCAAACAAAAAGGATTTACTATAAAGATTTACTTTACTTTTACACAATAAAATAGACTTTGTTGGGTGATTGGTGGCTCTCGTCATCAAGGCGTATCTGTAACCTTCAAGGAGGTGCCCCCCCTATATGAGATTCGAATCGACGTTACCAAGTACCGAGGTCTCAGTCCATACCATTATTTATCTCCAGTAGGACCGTAATGGACACAGTAATTAGTTAGTAGGGAGTAGCCAGTGTCGTATGCTCAATCCTTGATGTTGGTACTGATTGAATCCTGTCGGTCAAGTTTACAATGTAGTTACCACGGTAGGTGACTCGCTATCACATTCCAGGAGTTCCTTCAAGGTTACAAATACACCTCAATAAAGAATGCCAACAGGCATGAAACATAGGTACACTTAGTGATTCCTGCTGATTGCCTCCAACTATCTAGCACCAGTTCAAAGTGCACCACGATTGTGAGCCACCTAGCTTGGTGACCAGATTGACTGATAGAATTTGCTGTGTACCAACACCAAAGACAAGATGCAAGATATCGTTTACACATTAGTGACCAGTGAATGTAAAATATATTGTATTTTGCACCAGATAGCCATACTTGGAATATATATATATATATATATATATATAGAGAGAGAGAGAGAGAGAAAATCATCCTGTGACATGCAATATTTTACTCGCCAATGGCCTCATGAGAAGCCGTTGTCATCATTCTTAAATTATAAGTGTGTTACTTCTGACCGCTTTTAGTAGAGAGTGAAACACCAAGAAAATACTGAAATCTGAAAGTAAAATAAGGGCAAAAATCGAAAGCCTACAAAAGTGAAAATTACGTTTTGCATACAGAAGATTGTTCCAGATAAATTTGGAATATCTGTCCTTTCCTTATTATAATAATGTATTTCACACTTTCTATATTTATGGACTAATGGAACTGTGCCATCACTTTATACCAGCCGTCAGATCTACTATGATCTTGAACTGAATGACAGCGTCTGTTAGCTGCAGCCTTTCATTTGCGAGTTTCATCCTTCGTATTATGGGTAATGAACACAGGACATATCTGGTTGATTAAAGCCTAACAAGGCAGTAGTCACCGGACATTTTCTACTACTACTTCTTACAAACTAACTACACTTTCATTAACAACGGCTTTCAATGACATCTGGGAGCCCAGTTATTTCATTTAATCTATTACCTTTGGAGTGATAAATACTTACTGGCACTTTTTGTATTTATAAAACTAGACACAATCTTGACTGGACACTAGTAACTAGTGTGATGTGTCTAGTCCTCTGTTCGGTGAAGACTGAATTCTATCAGTTAGGTCTGCAATGCACCGCCATCACGGTGCACATTGATTTGATAATATTAGATGGTTGGAGGCAATCGACAGGAAGCCGATGGAATTCGGTCTGCACTAAACAAAAGAATGGACAAATTACACTAGTTACTGACTAGTGTGCAATAAGAAAATAGCCAATACATTCCTACAGGAGGTCAGTCGCGAGCCTGAATAGTTTAGTGGTAATGTGTCCGACTGCAGTACTCACTGGGTGACGCGGTTCGAATCTCAGAGGAAATGAGTTCCTTCGAGGTTGCAGATACGCCTATGATGACTGGTGAGTACCAACTAGAGCAAAACCTAGGTCAGACTAGGCTTCCTGTCGACTGCCTCCAACCATTTGATATTATCAAATCATCTGAATTCACAGACAAACGTTCAAGTTGCATTCTTCTTTAAACCCCCACAAAAAGAAGTTGAAGATAAGGAAAAAACATACCGGAAATGATGAAAATAGAATGTCTGAGTGGATGGAGATGATGTTTAACATTCAATGAAGGGCTGAAAACAATACGAAGTATCACTATCCCTAATCTAAACAGTTACGTAATGATTTGTCACTTGTGAAGTCTCATCTGTCACCGTCTGAACTACACTCGTCTTCAACTATTCAATTTTCTCTAATTTTATTCAAATCTGTATACTGTCAGGTTTGAAATGGATAACAATGCATCCGTTTGTTTTTCAATCTAGACGATTCAATCAGTCTAGAAGGTAAGCCAAAATAAAATTTTCCAAGACATTGATTTTGTTACAATTCTTACGCATGCATTGACATGAATGTCTGAATATATGCAACTATACATCTTCCTTATTTTTCAACCAATCAAAATTAACGGTGAAAATAATTTCCAGACAATAAATTGAATTAAAATTCACTGAAAAAGGTCAGTGTTAGAAGTAACAATTTAAACAAAGAATTAACCTTTAATCATCAATATTTAATCCAGTCTAAGTAGTATGTCAGTTCGTTTAATTTTACGATTAATTCATTGCAACTGAAACATGCTGATAGTCTAAACAACATTCAGATTTTGAGGTGAATATTTTTCAGGGATAAGCAGAATAATAATTAATTACAACAATCAATCTGAGAATTTTGAAGCGAGAAAAGTTCAGATGATTTAATAAGTTTATAGGTTTCCAGACCGTAGGTGTTATGAACTTCCTGGAATAATTTCAGCGCCGAGTCAGATTGATTCATTATAAATTATTCAATAAGCTTGATGATCAACATGATTTTCAAGGGTTA